ACCACATTATGTACCACTAGTACGTAATTTCGTCGAAACCATCGAAATCAACTTGAGCTCCGAAGACGAAGATTTTAAATTTCAGGCGGGAAAATCATTAGTGAAACTGCATTTTAGGCCTGTTCGTTGAAACGTTATAGCTCTAGTTGTTATCATGGCTGCGCCCCATAACCTTGTGCTCTTTGAACCTGATTCAAGTCTATTTGAGGAGCTGTTTGAACAGAATCAGATTGGTTATGGTCCATTAGGCAGATATCGGAGTTCAGGTCTACAAAGCGGTTCAGGCTTAGCAGACTTTTTCCGAACAGTGTTTTCGCGCGTCTCCAAATTCACCGCTCGTTCGAAGCGCTCTACCCCATGCTAGAGCAGCATTAGAGTCAGCAAAACCTCACTTGAAGCAAGCCGCTCAAAGTGTAGCCACCAGTGCTGCGGAAAAGGTGACTGAAAAGCTAGGGAAAATATTGGAGCCAGCTCAGCCTTCAGACGCAGCAGTAACCTCTACTGAAGCCCCTCAACTCGTGACTGTTAAACAGCAAACTGGTAGCGGAAGTAAACGCAAACGCCCTACTAAACATTCAAAAAAGAGAAAAAACACGAAACGACGAAAGCACCGTACTAGTAACGGTTCTTTTGATAAGTATCCCGATATTTTCTAAAAAAAACTACAAAAATGCCTGAATATCTCCTACCACACTCAGAGCCGGCCATGTCTAGTGACATGAACCTGTTCTCCGTACCGGCATCGTTAACGGAACGTTTCAGCTATGAGACACAAGAGTATGGACCAGAGTCGGCGCCTCCGGAAGACTCACCATTAAGCGGTAACCTGTCTTTCTTTATCCCGCCGTCATCCAACGGTCTGCTCTCGCTCACGGATACGTGTTTTGAGTGTGAATTAAGTATAAAGAAAAGAACGCCACAAATGCATGGGTGAACCTAGAGAACAATGATAACGTAGCGCCTGTTAATTATATTGTGCATAGTTTGTTCAAACAAATTCATTTTACTGTGGCGAACAAGGTGATCTCTGACTGTTCACCTTATTATCCCTATCGCGCTATAATGGAGGTTCTAACAAGTTATACTGAAGATGCCATGAAAAGCCAGCTAACGAGCGGCGGATTTTATTTCGACACACCAGGCAAGATGGAACATGCCACAGAGAACACTGGTGAAGCAAAGCGCAAGGAGCTATTTGCTTTAAGTGCTAGCGTTCAGTTATCGGGAAAGATTTTCACGGACTTATGCGTACAATCAAAACCTTTGCTCACAGGCGTGCCCGTGCACGTTAGCCTATACTTTAACAATTCAGAATTTTATTTACGATCATGGAATACTGGTGCGGCGGCTGCAACAGAATACAAGGCATTTATGAAACATCCACGCATAACCGTACGACGCTATATCCCATCACCGGATTTCATGAACGCTATTACACAAAAGTTACAAACAACAACAGCCAAATACCACATTGAACGCGCAGAATTAAAGGCGCGTGCTATTCCTGCTGGCACCCAAACCATAGCCTTTTCTGACCTCAAGTACGGCCAACTACCTAAGGTGGTATTTATTGCTTTTGTGCAATCGGACCGCTTCCATGGCACAACAAGCCTCAATCCGTTTGTATTTGATCATTGTCGCGTTCGTCAAATCTGTATTAATGTGGATGGGAAGCAATACCCAACGATACCCTACATGTGTGACTTTCCAAACAACCGCTATTTAAAGTGTTATGACGGCTTCTTGGATGTTTTGAATCAAAAAACCATCCAGCTGGAGCCCATATTCTGGATCGTCATACATACGCAAAAGGATACACAGTGTTCGCTTTTGACCTGACGCCAACGGCTACAGGCTTAGGGCCCATGACGCTAATTCGATCAGGGACAGTGGGCCTGGAAGTAACTTTGACACACCACTAACTAATGCCTATCAAATGCTGGCTTGGATAACGTGCGACCATTTAATAGAATTCACCAATTTACGCCAGGTTATTTGCGACTTTGCATCGTAATTAAACAACAAATCGTCACAATGAACGAACAGGAAATTCGGAATATCATGTGGTCACAGTACAACCCCGCTTCGCACATGCTGAGATCGGTGTTTCGCGGCGTTTACGCCCTAGATGAGCTACAGCAGCAGCATCTTACAGAGGTCGACCTACCTGCTGCGTTTATTGTAAACACTGATCCAGCCAGCGAACCCGGAACACATTGGATTGCCGTCTACGTTGAGTGCCCTCATTTATTGAAGTTTTCGATTCCTACGGCAAACCCGTGGCCTATTATAGTCAGTCACTTGAAAATTTTCTGAAAACGCAACTCATCGGCCAGCCTGCGTCATCACCACCGTTGCCCCTATACGAACAGCGAGCTGTTTTACAACAGCCATTGTCCACTACCTGCGCTCAACACTGCATGTTTTTTATAGTAATGCGATCAGTATGTCGCTTTTCCTATTCCTACATCATTCATAACCTATATCGAATTGATAATCAATTTCAAAACGACTTGATGGTTCGTAACTTTATTAATGACTTTTCAATGCAAAACACGTGTTTATAATTTTGAAGCATTCTACTAACAATTAATTGTAATATTGCCCTCGCAAAATCAGGGAGGTGCTGCGCGCACACACCTTTGGTTTTGCAGAGGCCCGCGTGGCAATTAAAATGACAAATCGACTTGGGGCCGCCAACGCGAATCAAAAATATTTACAAATAACATCAGTAATAAATGATTACGAATATACTGAAACTGATGATATAGCGATTAAAATTACCTAAACGAGCTAAGATGATTGCTTGAAAACCAAACAGGCACACACCACACATACACAGAAACATTCATACTAGTTCAGTTTGAACTGCTCCTTGAAACGCTGCAGCATTTCAGCACACAGTCGATCTCCGTGCATTACCAGAAATTCGTCCGGCTTGAAGTGGTACGCCTCCAGCAAGTTGCGTTCCGCATTATGATGCGAGTGCGCTGCTTCGTCAGCATAGCGGTACGGCAGTTGCTTGAGAAACAGCCCCAGCAGAGTCTTTTCCACATCCTTACAGACATAGCTTCGCATACGGTCCGTTAGTTGTATACGATCCGAGTAGCGGCATGCAGTATGGCCATCATGAGCTCCAGGTTGCAGCGGATCAGCAAAGGTATCCTCCATAAGGTGGCAAAGCTTGCATTCTTGCGTCAGGCGTTTGCAAAAGCGCTCCATCATAGGCCACGGTAGCTTCTCAAAAATATCCTGGTAGTCGGCTTGGCAGACTTGCATGGTAGGGTACCCGGATCGTCCCTTCAGCACCTCATACGTATGCTTAAGGATGGTTCCGTTGTCCAAAAGTTCACAGAACGCTTTTCACTACAATTGCAACAACCACAACAACCATAATAATAATATCAATAAGCTAAACGGTTATGAAATAACCAAAAAAAATAAGTAAATTTGGGTATTAATTATGCTGCTATCACTAGAACACAACACTCACTTCATCGCAAGTCGTTTCTCACTGGGTGAGCCGATGACCACCTTTGTTCCCGGTTCTTTCAGGCTGTTTGCTTCAAGGTAAACCCGAATGTTGGCAATGGGTACTTCGTCAAGCCTGAGGAGAAGCAACCGCAGAAATATAATAATAATGTGCCATAGAAACAAAAGCACAAGGTTGTTATATGAATGACTTTCTTACCATCCCCAGTTAAAGAAGTAACCTCCGCCCAGGTCATGCATTGCCGTAATGGGTGTAGAGCCTTCGTCATAATTGATCAGTCTTTCCAGTTGTCCACACAGTTGTAAACCCACTAGTTTGGCAAACTGCTTCGCATCTAACTCGACATGCTTGGACGCTAAACTCGGAACCCACTGACCCTCCTGATTTTTATCAAACTCCCCAATAATGTATCGCAAACGGTTGTTCATCAAGTAAACTGCAATGAATTTTTCTCCTCCAAATTTAATTACCGGCCCACCTTCGTACTGAAATGCAACCTGCCCCTGGGTAAACCCACGCCGAGCTAAGCTAACTGCATCGGTTTTGGGCTTATACGAGTCCGCGGTGACCTTACGTTTCTTAGTACCAGTAATAGTTAATGCCCTAACAGGCTGAAGTGATGCCGGAATAGTCGACAACGATGGTGATGACGACAAGGCAGCCAAAAGGTCACTGTTATCACCTGATACACTATCTACGCTTCGCATTGCAGCCATTGCGGTGAAAATTTAAAATACTCACAAATAACGGTAACACGCTACGATAACGCTTTAAACTCAAAGCAGACAAACAGAATAATGGACAACTAAATCAAAGTGGAGGCAGGAATACGCAAACTCTATGCACTAACATCAGAAACACGAGCCGACCTAATCATTTTATAGCCAACTAAATAGGTTAAAACATCAGCATGTTTATTCTTGCTTTTTTTTTAGTCATCGGGTGGACACCCTTTATACAATGCATCAGCTAAAGTACTAGCATTGTTTGCTTCCGTTATCTCGGGCATCGCCTCAAACTCACGTTGGTCAGACGAAAGTCCATAGAAAGTGACGGAAAGGGACTCGGGCTGAACGTTACCATGAGCGCTATCGGAGGCGGTCTCATCTTGGAGAGGTTGGGTTGCGATTTTCAACATCGAATCAAAATTCAACACCGTTCCTGTAAGTTTATTAATTTCAAATCCTTTGATTTTACAGACCTCCTGCCCAGATGCCGTAACGTAGCTGTAAGATTTTGGACCAGTACTACAGAAGCGCGTAATGAAGTCGTCCTCGGCCAGCTCATTACTTAACATCCCCAGAGTGGACCCGGTTTCAAACGGCTTATCACCTGGACGCTGAACAAAGATAATGCTGTCCTACAGTTTAAAAGCTATGTTTTTTTCTCGTTTCTTCTAGTTTCATATGCTTTACGCTAATGCTTTAGCTCTTACCGTATCAAAGTATAGTAATCGCTCGCCAGCTCTTTGCATGAATTTCAATAAATGTAATCTTGCGTGTGCCGTTGTAAACCTGACAGCAAAAAATAAGTACAAGTCTAATTTACCTGATTTAAATGAAGCACTAAAACTGAAACTATTATCACTTACGCTGCTAGAACCACGTTCGTTTTCGGGTTAGTCGGAACCATAGCATCCTTCCTCGTGTACATTATTTGTACAACGTCATCCGAAAATACGTCATAATCATGGATTTCGAATTCTGAAGACGTTAAATAGTGCAGAAAATCCTTCACAGTGTTCACGAAAACTGTGCTGAGAAGGTTATTTCTCATTCCCAGCCGGCCCCAAAAGCTGTAAACACCATAGCATAAATTATTAATACTACAACTACTCTTAGTGTATGACCGACACCAAACAAACAAAAAAAAATAAGCACTAACCTGTTCAGGCACAACTTAGCGAGCTGCCGCAGTCCCGGATTCCAGCTTATTTTGGAACCGTCCAACCGGATGCCTTCCGTTTGGAAAAAGTGGTCCAGAAACGCATCTTGCTGCTCTGGAGTTTTAATATCAGCCGGCCAGCCAGAAGCTTGCACTTTAAGCGCCAGGAACAAATCAATATAATCAGCAAAAAAGCGCTCTCTGCTGTCGGGATAGTGCCATACTTCGTGAATTTCCATTAGTTCATAACCATTTTTCACGGCTTCTTGTAGTTCTAGTGTGCACCAAGTCCCCGTCAGAGCTCTTTGCTCCGGATCCTCGTGCGTGCAAACTTGCTGATTCTTTTCTTCAGCGCAGGTGCGGCATAACGTGAAAATCAGTTTATCGAAATGCGCCGGTAATATCGGTATCATCAGGTTGCGAGGCGGTAATATTTTGCAATGCATAATTCCGAAATAGTTATCCAAGGTTTTAAAATTATTAGTAATTCTTTTATGCTTGCCAACCGGATAGCGCTTGTTTTATTGACATATGGATATTCGGATACAACATCCAAGTACATTATCTTCTCTCCAGGCTTGACCTTATAGTCTAACACTAGGGCATTTACTCGTCCTCCGAACAATGCTTTTCTCGGTCAAGCGGTTCAACAATCCGTATGTTCTTTATAGCAGTAGCAAAATTAGCGTCGTTTTAATGCGACTGTCATATTCACATTCCCAAACGCTCACAATATTGATTTTAAGCTTTTTCAACATTTCTTCGCGCCGTACGGTTCGCTCGTACAACTCACCCATTGTGGCGTCCTGATGCGGGTGGCGTGTACTTGGATTCGTGCATATTGGATGGCCATGGTGCACGCACCCATAAAATTCATATGCAGTTCGACTTTCCAGATGGTACCCATCAATGAATAATGCACCAATTTTGAATTCTCGCCCAGTTCAATACCTTGGCTCTGACTTATACACTGTAACCATGAATTGGCTTTATTGGAGGATATTCTGTTGCTGGGCATACGAATAACCTCAACTTCCAAAGGCTTTAGCAGCCTGGACCTCCAAAAATAATGACAAACACTTGGAAGGGTTAAACCGGATTGAAAAATACATAGTCCATCCGTAATTTTGAAAAAAAGTTCGCGCAGCTGCATTGCACAACAACGTAGCGTGGTCACGTCTTGGTGGCAATAGGCAGCCAGTTCCTTGTTGACGTCATACAATCCTCTTTTTAAAGCTTTGTCTTCATTATAGAATTCCATAAATGCATGTTTTTCTTTATCGCTCATAAATCGGTAGTTGAACTTTTCAATGTCCGGATAGTCAATAACTGTGTTCCAAAATTGTGGTCGGTGCAGGACATGTGGAAATTTACCTTTTAGTTTTCCTCGACGGCGAATGATTTCGCCCAGTTGTCCAATGACAAAGGAACATAATTGAGCGTATCCCGAAAGTTAATGCCAAACTCCCGATCGCGCAGGTGCGTGATTTGGGAACCTTTCATGATAACGTCAGGCGCTTGACCTTTCTGAAGCAGCCATTTTAAAATAAAATAGCCATCGAACCTAGAAAGCCCACCATTTTATCCGTAAGCTGTATACTTTCAACGTATTTCATGTTGTGTGAAACAGAAGAAGAACTAAAATTTCTTACCCTCTAAAGTTATGTGCCAAACAAAAGAATCCAGCATGCTTTTCTTGGAAAATGTCTCGCAAAATTGGCAAATTGTACATTTGAAACTAGCAGATTTGTGCTTGGCTAATACTTTGTCGTCAAGTTTCTCGGGTTTAATATAGCAGTCATGGTGTCTGGTAATACATAACACAGGCAAACCGAATAAATTTCGCCGCATACATGGTCTGTCCCGTATCCTCGTTTCACGTTCGTCTTTATGAATGCTGAGCAATCTATGCAGACCTTGAATTTTTCGCAAATGCTTTTCTTTTGTTATGGTTTGTGCTTTTCGCTGTCTTTGCAAGGTGGTGGTTAAAACACTCGTTGTTTCTAAAGCCCGTTCGATTGCATCCCGCACAGTATCGCGCAAAGTTTGCTTCGAGCTCACATCTTTCGCGCAAGCAAAGCTTGCAGGTATATTTACAGCGATGATCACCTTCGTGAGAGTACCCTGATTACAATGAAAACACCATTTGCTTTTTTTCGTACCACCCTTGAAGAGATGTTAAAACGTCAAAATGGTTGGCATAATACAATAGCATTAAGCGTTTTTCCTGAATTCGCCAGCAAAGATAATGCTGTTAAGCTGTTCCAGTCCAACAATTATGATTTGATAATCGCTTAGTAACTTTTGAAAAGTCTCTACGTCGTCCAGGCTGTAGCGCCGCTCCGTCAGGCCTGCAGCTATTACCAGCTGTTTCGCCAATAATGTCTGCTGATCCTTATGCTGCTTTTTCTGGGTGCTTATGTGCCCTGGTGTCACGTAGCGTTGAATACAGCTGCAGATCGTCATCTGCTAAGGCTTTAGCCGTTACTAGGGACCGTGGTAAACATAAATTATCGTCGTTCTTTATGCGCACGATAGACATCTTGTTTTTCAGTAGCCTTTTAACGCTTTCAGGAATCACTAGATTGTCATTACCTCCACCATCCGGCGTTTCTGTGTACTGGACTTCAATCCTGAAGCTTTCATCCAAGCGAAAGCTTGTTGAACTTTGCATCACCCGTTCCACGCGCGCCATGATACGATCCACAGTTAGTTCGTCCCGCCGCATTAACGGTGTCCAAATAGGAATCTTCTTTCGCAAATGATCGCTGTATAATTGCACGCGTACCATATACCAAGGCTGAATTTTGTCTACCAAAATTCTGTTAAGCAGTTCTTCAAAAATGCTTTCTATTACTCCACAGAGGCGTGAAAACGGAACATCAAACAACTCGGGCGCGATGCGGCACTGAAAACCGCAAGTGCAGTTTTCCATTTCTGAGAATAAGTATCTGCTACCTGCTCAAGTAGCAGATTATCTTCTGAAATGCTAGGGATGCTACCTAAGCCATCTTCTTCTTCTTCTTCTTCGTGGTTGTCAGAATGCTCATCCATTTTTCGCTCAATAAACACAACTTGTAATGTGTACACAGCTAATGAACTCAAGAGACTCCTTCGAATTATGATTACCCTGCTGAACGACGTTCACGGCTTTATATACTTGTTATTCTTATTAAAATCGGTCAAGTTCTAACACGCCTTATCGACTAACAGCAAATCGTAAACAAGGGCTACCCACCACCCGCGAAAAAAAAAAGAAGAAAGCTAACAGAAGTCAAAGTTTGTGACCAAAGATTACAAAGCATAATCAAGCATACGTAAACTAGTTCCTTTGCCAAAACAAGATTTTGCGTCTATCAACAACCTTTGATGTGCCTGGTGACACAATTTACAGAAACAGTTAATCATACGTGGAAAAGCCATACCGCGTGCAGCTAGTAGTAAACGTAACATATAGTACCGAAATTCGTTGAGGTAGCCAATGTTCATATCGTCTCCACAAATACGCACTGCACTGTAGATTGAGAACGCGTCGTTGGATGTCACTTTGCGCATGATGCTCTCCACTGCATCGATCCCGCGGCAGTCCAGGCGTGTTAACCAGTACTCGCAGATTGTCCGCCAAACCGTACGTAGATGAGGCGTAGTCCTCAGATGGGGAGTGGATCCTTGGAGGTCAGATGGAAAGTGTCCAGCAATTCCTCGGCGACATGGATGACATGGTGAGGCTGGTTTGCTCCACGAGCGAACAAAGCATTAAGCTTAAGATATCTACAACGTACAGAGCGATTAGTACAACGCAGCACGACTCTATGACTAAAGCTTAAAAGAATGATACATACGATTTCTCCGTTCTCATCCACCCGCACTCAAGGTACGACATGTCCGAGTGCACATATCCAGGAATAAGATGGCGGAATCCGTAGACATAGACGTCCTCCAACTCCAGCGTGTTTATCCATTCCACGGTCTCCAGAATCGCCCTAACACTCATGAAACCTCCCCTAACGGTGATATGGCGCAGCTCCGGTGCAACGTCCTGCAGAACCAGCAGTACCGTGCAGAAATGGTCGTGCATATGATTGATGTAGGCCCCGTTGCTTTCCCTCATGTCAAAGGTGATGCATTTCGTGCGGTTGGACACTACGCAAAACAGCTTCTTGCTAAAATTTCGAACTTCACAGTACAACCTGTCACACGGAGGATGGATGCCTTCATTGGTGTAGTTATCCACATCCGAAGCTTTGAAGATGACCTCGGGTTTGGAAGCTCGGGCAGCTATTTCTTCTTCTGCGTAGAAGTTGAACGCCGATGAAACCCGCTTCAGATGATATAAGTCAATGGGGTCATCAAGGAAACGATGTACTTCATCGTGTCCTGCTGGTAAAATGGAAGCCCGCATCCATCCGGTTCGGTGTACTGTCGCAACCAGTTCCTGGTGGGTGTTGCCGACGTCCAGATGTCCCTGGCGCCTTGCGCTTCAAGACTGTCCGCTGCATTGCCGGCATACACCGTCTCCACGCCATCCCTCCATGTGCACATCGCACAACCAAGGTCGCCTGGTTCTCCGGCTGAATGGTGGTGGGTCGCTTCCGGGGGACGTGGCGTACCACTTCAGTACATCCTCCAACTGGTGATCGAAGCAGTGGGGAAAGCGGTTGGAAACTCTTGGGAGTTGGAAATCCTTGAACACCTCCTTCGGCACCGGTTGACATTCGGGACACGCCTCCGTAACAATCTGCGCTTCTTCGTCGCTGTCATGAACACACTTGCAATATTTACAAGGAGAACCTTCTAGTTGAATGCTACGCTTCATTGTAGTGACTTAATAAGCGAACGACTTACAAAAACTGGAAATGAGCCGTTCGTGCGTTGCGTCGAGTGCTTTTATATACCTAGCTGTATAGCATTGCTAGCTTGCACTTGATTGGCTTGATACGGTATTGATTGTTAATTTTTTTTCTTCCCAGGGCTCTTCCCTTCATTATATTTACGTAGACATCTTGATTAAACGGACTACAATTACTTGGCATAACAGTTAGAACATTAGTCCAGAGTTTATTAGTCTGATGGCATCAGTATCATGCGGCTAGTATGTGGACTTTAATGTGTTATATCATGGTTTTCGCCACAACAATTATGCTACTAGACATCTAGCATACCAATCAATCCGTTTTCATAACCGTTGCTCCATTGATTCATTCTCTTAATTGTTTCCATCAAGGCTTCCTTGTACTCCGTGACCTTGTCAGCCTTGAACCCTGTTTCATGGAGTTCGATGAATTTCTGCATGACCTCGCGTCTTGGGTTCTTGCTTCCCTTCTTAAACAACCCAGGACGCAGCGTCTTGCGTAATTTCCCTTTAACCTTGTCCGTTTGACTCATCAATCGCGCAAACATTGATTGCACTGGTGCTTGGCACAACGCTTGTGTTGTCATTTTCCTGAAGGATTTCAGATGGCGTTGCATCAGCTGCAAACAATGCGAACATAACAAATAATTAGTCCCAACGAGCTCATCATTGCAAAAGGTTACTTAACCGGGACGTACTTTGCCCAGTTCTTTGTCGTCCAAATCGGAATCCATATTAAAAGTGTCCGGCTGGAATATATCAAGGATGTCCACCTTCTTCTTTTTCTTCGCCGGTTTCTGTCCTGCCTTCCGGATCAACGGATCCGGTTCTCGTTCCACTGACCGACGGTACAGCTCTCGGTGTTCCGTTCGCTTACGCAGGACAGTGAGCAACAAGTCTCTCGACTTCTTCGGCTTCGTGGTTTGCGCTAGGGCTCTGGACGCCGCTTCCCTTAATTCATTCAGCCCTAGCTGGACTTCACGGAGTTCACGGGTGCATTCATCAATGGACTGTAGCACAGTGCGATGTACGGCGGCAGCTGCTTCTTCTACATGGCGATTCTCTTTAAACAGCGCAACCTGTACAGAACAAATGCATTTTGTTATCCATTGCGGTACAATACAGACCAATGTATTGTTCCTGATCGTATAGAAAATCGTACCGCTTTCTCGTACAGATACTGCTTAGCCTCTTCATCCAGTTTTTTAATCTTTTTTCATCAGCTTTCTCCTCGTGGTCTGGGCATTGTCTTTACCGGCATGATAGAGCGTCTTCCACTCAGCCTTCACCTAGAAGACAACAATAATAGATGAGAAAATAAGCATGCCTGTATGCATAGGTAAATAATTTTATTCCTAATACGTCAGGTAAAAAATTTGCGTACCCATATGAGCAGCTTAATAATTTTTCGTACCAGGTAGTCCGTTGAAAAATTTGCGTGCCAATATAAGCAGCGTAATAATTTTTAGTACCAATTAGTCCGCTAAAAAATTTGCGTACGGGTATGCGCAGCTTAATAATTTTTAGTACCAGTTAGTCCGTTGAAAAATTTGCGTACCAATATAAGCAGCTGAATAATTTTTAGTACCAGTTACTCCGTTGAAAAATTTACGGGTCAACATAAGCAGCGTAATAATTTTTAGTACCAATTAGTCCGCTGAAAAATTTGCGTACGGGTATGCGCAGCTTAATAATTTTCAGTACCAGTTAGTCCGTTGAAAAATTTGCGTGCCAGTATAAGCAGCGTAATAATTTTTAGTACCAATTAGTCCGCTGAAAATTTACGTACGGGTGTGCGCAGCTTAATAATTTTTAGTACCAGTTAGTCCGTTGAAAAATTTGCATGCCAGTATAAGCAGCTGATTAATTTTTATCCTCAATTAGTCCGCTGAAAAATTTACGGGTCAACATAAGCAGCGTAATAATTTCTAGTACCAATTAGTCCGCTGAAAAATTTACATACCGGTATAAACCGTTCAAAAATTTTTATACCCGGTCGACCCGCTGAAAAATTTGCGTACTAGTACGCACAGCTGAAAAATTTACATACCGGTATAAGCTGTTCAAAAATTTTTATACCCGGTTGACCCGCTGAAAAATTTGCGTACTAGTACGCACAGCTGAAAAATCTACATACCCGCATAAGCTGTTCAAAAATTTTTATACCCGGTTGACCAGCTGAAAAATTTGCGTACTAGTACGCACAGCTTAAAATTTACATACCAGTATGTACGCTTCAATAATTTTATACCCTGTCAGTCCGCTGCAAATGTACCCATTAATATAAGCAGGTAAAATTTTAACGTATCGTTATCACGCTAAAATTTCCATCCTCATATGTTGGTTAAATTGAATTAGAATTGTCCAGTTACTCAGCTACAATTTACCGCAGGAACAGCAGCGCATAGTTGTACATACAACAATGTTATGGTAAAACATTACAGTATATACATAATGATAATGCATTAACGATGCAGACATACAGCATACATAACTTACTGATATTTTATTCATACAACTATATTACACAGCATAACAATAATTATTCAAGAGAGTACAGTGATTGCACTACAGTAATAATTAAAATGTTATCTCACCTCGTTTTGCGACATCTTTGTGTATGGCAAGCAGGAGTTCTATACGCGGGAACGGATGCTGGATGTCCAGTGCGGTTTCCAGATTGACAGCCGAATGAATGCGTGGGTTCCTGTGCGCTACATGTGTATAATAACTGTGTGCGTGCTTGATGGAGTACCAAAAGCACACACACAGTACACGATCTGCCACGCGCAAATACAGAAAAAAGTGGTACGGGATCAAAGTCCCTTACCACGCCAGACAGTCATGCTGCGAGCACATTTTCTGACAGAGCGACATTTGTTTTGGTTTTTGTTAATGTGCTCGGCGGCCCTGCTCGCAAATCTGAAGGATATTATTGCTTTCAGTACACACAGTTTGAGTAGCGGACATACCATCGGAACATACTGATTTTACGCTATTATTAACAGACATTGCCAGTCTGTTCACCAAATTTCGTTTTGATGCATGAAGGGAACTTGTGCCCGTTTTGAATCGCTTCACGGCAGCGGTGATACTACCAGCAGGTGATATCGAATCGCTTCACGGCAGCGGTGCTACTTCCAGCAGGTAATTTCTATGTATTTATCTATAATTTAAGCGATTTTTTTCTGATTATCAGTGATTTTTTCTGATTTTTTAAATTTATTTTTAAAAAAACGGGACGTCATCCCGGGACGCTCTTATCAGCGTCCCACATCTAAAAGCCGGTCGAGACAGGCATATTACTACTCACGCCCTTTTCCATTATATATACATTTTCCATCAAAATAGATTTGTAGTGCTTGTTGATTTTGTTCCTGATTAACTTGAAGGTACAGGCACCTTCGTGATTAGCTAGAATGCAGTTTTGCATATCTTTATCATTGGTCTCCAACCTATGGTGTTTTGTTGACAGTGAGCAGCCAGTCTACTTCGCAACGTGTTAGAAAAACGGTTAACATATGTGAAATAAGGAAGGTTCATTCTGCCTTTTCCTCGTCAGGTTTTTGATAAAAAATTCTGCATCATTGCTGAAATAACCTGGAACAACCTCATAAGCACCCTTTCCCAATAGCTCTCACAAGATTTGCTGTTAATTTTAAGCGTTATAACTGTTATATTGGGACGTCCTGGCATTTCGGATAATTTATTGTCGATTAAAACAGTTTAAAACCCTATCTCCACTTCACCAAACGGTGTTTTCTTTAATTTATTATATTTGTTATGAACACTTGGTTTAATGATAATGCATTAACGATGCAGACATACAGCATACATAACTTACTGATATTTTATTCATACAACTATATTACACAGCATAACAATAATTATTCAAGAGAGTACAGTGATTGCACTACAGTAATAATTAAAATGTTATCTCACCTCGTTTTGCGACATCTTTGTGTATGGCAAGCAGGAGTTCTATACGCGGGAACGGATGCTGGATGTCCAGTGCGGTTTCCAGATTGACAGCCGAATGAATGCGTGGGTTCCTGTGCGCTACATGTGTATAATAACTGTGTGCGTGCTTGATGGAGTACCAAAAGCACACACACAGTACACGATCTGCCACGCGCAAATACAGAAAAAAGTGGTACGGGATCAAAGTCCCTTACCACGCCAGACAGTCATGCTGCGAGAACATTTTCTGACAGAGCGACATTTGTTTTGGTTTTTGTTAATGTGCTCGGCGGCCCTGCTCGCCAATCTGAAGGATATTATTGCTTTCAGTACACACAGTTTGAGTAGCGGACATACCATCGGAACATACTGATTTTACGTATTATTAACAGACATTGCCAGTCTGTTCGCCAAATTTCTGTTTTGATGCATGAAGGGAACTTGTGCCTGTTTTGAATCGCTTTTCACGGCAGCGGTGATATCAGCAGGTGATATCGAATCGCTTCACGGCAGCGGTGCTACTTCCAGCAGGTAATTTCTATGTATTTATCTATAATTTAAGCGATTTTTCTGATTATCAGTGATTTTTTCTGATTTTTAAATTTATTTTTAAAAAAACGACGTCATCCTGGGACGCTCTTATCAGCGTCCCACATCTAAAAGCCGGTCGAGACAGGTCCATTATATATACATTTTCCATCAAAATAGATTTGTAGTGCTTGTTGAATTTGTTCCTGATTAACTTGAAGGTACAGGCACCTTCGTGATTAGCTAGAATGCAGTTTTGCATATCTTTATCATTGGTCTCCTAAATCCTGCGGTAGGTGTTTTGTTGACAGTGAGCAGCCAGTCTACTTCGCAACGTGTTAGAAAAACGGTTAACATATGTGAAATAAGGAAGGTTCATTCTGCCTTTTCCTCGCCAGGTTTTTGATAAAAAATTCTGCATCATTGCTGAAATAACCTGGAACAACCTCATAAGCACCCTTTCCCAATAGCTCACAAGATTTGCTGTTAATTTTAAGCGTTATAACTGTTATATTGGGACGTCCTGGCATTTCGGATAATTTATTGTCGATTAAAACAGTTTAAAACCCTATCTCCACTTCACCAAACGGTGTTTTCTTTAATTTATTATATTTGTTATGAACACTTGGTTTTGGGCTTCGCTCCGGTTGGCCAATGCACGCCAACGTGCATTTCTCTAACTATATTTATCAGCTAGTTTGTCGGTTTCTTTCGTGGCTGCTTTAAAATAAAATTAGTAGTGGCTCATATAGCGCAATCATCAACTGCACTATGCATCAGTGCAGCTATATAGACCCGTCTCTACTCAATAGATGTTCTGCAGTGCACGCAAGCATGTGCACGTCTGGTAGTGGTTGCGCAACGCTGTGTGAGATGAAAGTTTGCTTGTCATTTATTACCTGTGGTACAACGGTTATGCAACAGCTTAAAACAACACAATTTTACAACATGAAAATTTCATTTAACTTTTCTGCTCCTTCCATCGTTCCCAAAACTGATGCAGCGTTTCCTCGTTGTATCACTAGTGACAGTCTTTGACGTAGATTCATGGGAACGTTCGCCGTGTGTTGCTCCAGTCGTTGCCCTAATTCTTTAATGATGGCATGGCTGATATCCCCTATGGGCCCATTGTTTCGAAAGCAATTGGAGAAAAATATCTGCCGTTTAAGTACGAGTACAACTGAGACTTCTTCTGTTCTGTCCACCGCAGCCGCACTTGCGTGAGTTGCTGTTTTGATGTGAGAAGGGGCAACAGTGTCTACGCAAGTGACATCCACGCTAAACACAACCCTTTCTGCCAGGCAAAGTTGTGCATCCGTCAGGCCGTTCAGACGTATGCGACGTGCCACGTGGCTCCAGTTTTGCCGGAATCCCAGCTGAAACACACGCGCGACAAACGATATCGTTTAATCCACCATGTCGTGGAGATACCAGCAGAGAACGCGCAAGACAGACCATGGTGTCCGTATTTGTCTACATGCTTTTGGCACTTCATGCATCGTGGGGTTCACATATTGCAACCCAAGCCCAGACCGAGGAGATTTTCAGAGTATCGTCATCAAGGAGGTTGCCAATATGGGCAGAATGCAATGCATTTAACCAGATGCCGGCTTCCGGTGTTGACTGGGCAAGAAGGCGGCTTAAATCAATCGTCGCGGTAAATCTCCAGCAGCGTGGACAAAGATATGTTACACATTGGGATGTCCCAGGTCCTCTTGCTACGGAAATTAGGTTCAGGCAGTTCAGGTTGTCGGGCGTTTTTCTTCCACAACTCGAGAGCGCCTGTGAGGTCGACGGCCGCATGTCCAGGTAGTAATAAGGATACCATATCGGATACGGAGAAAATCGAAGCCAGTTTGCTTAACTTTGGTGAGTTTGGTCCCCTTTCATTGACACTCCATTCTGTCATCTAGCAGTTCTAATCATGTTGTTAACTAAATTCATGTACTAGTCCGCTTGTGCATAAGTGCTTGTAAAAGCTACAAAGAGAAAAATTCTGTCTCAAATTTTAAATAAACTTTAAACGAAATAAAAAGAAAGGTTTGAATTGGGTAATGTTCAAAGAAATGCGCCGCGTCACGTCACTCTTTTTGCGTAAATCATGTACTACAGCCTTCATAAAGCGATGAGTTTGCACATCACAGATAGAGCTTATACATTACACTTATACATAAAAGTAGTCGAAAGAATTCAGACGGGTTACATTACTTATAATTAGTGCTAATAGTGTTTGGCGTGACTAGTTGCGCTAATTCTTAACAAGCTGACAGAGGAGATGCCCAGAACACTAGACGGACAGGTTCCACTTCGCGAAGTATGAATCACATGTTTCTTCTCCCGTAGCCGAGAACGGTGACACAGCTACAGTACCGCAACAAACGAGCTGCACTTGTCTTTTACTGATATTAGATTTATTTTGGTTCTTACTCCTTAACTTCGCAATGCCACCGGAAACAATTTGTCGATTAAGTAGTGTTAATTTCTGCGCATGCAGCGGATCATTTACACATAAGACATCGAAATTTCAGCTTGCGCACAAAGTATTAATTTGTACAATTCGTAGCTGCCGTTTTGTACACAACAGTCCAAGCGGTAACAATCAGCGAGGTAATTGCGAATGTGACCGGTGATAATTATGGCAGCAGCTTGCGTAATATTAAACTTATTCATTACTTAGTAGGCACTTTTAACCTATCGCCGTGCGCTAATGGCGGAAGCCAATGAGTAATTTTTTTCATTTGGTCTCTCAGGTTCTATAGTTCTCTTTTGTAATTTTGTGATCGCAATCAACTGTTCTGTCTAAGGGACAAGGCATCATCAATAAAAAAAAAGTTTTACTTTTTAATGCATTTCTGCTAAAGTCAGGCAGAAAGCCATCCGGTCATAAATTATCTATATTGCGCTAAACAGATATATATACCGGTATATGGAAGTTTGTGCAGTCGCCCTTTCCATTCACTGCGATATCCCACCATATCTCAACAGTGCCCTCTACATTTTCTTCACGTAGGTATCTTATGCGCCCTGCTACAGCGTTAGCGGTTCAATGCCATATTCAGTCGTATTTCTGCAGTATCTTTTATGTATCCCATTATGTACTATGTATTCCACGAAGAAACGTAAAAGATGTGAACCTTTAGCAGGATACATGACGAATAACCGCGGATAGAGTGCTATTGATGATACAACGACTCATAGAATGCTCCAGGTAATATGTACGATGAGGATATTGTGTTTTACGCTACGAGCAATCAAGCGAAAAACTACATTACAATTTCGGACTAAATGGTTGAGCACTCCATAGAATTGTATCAGAAAAAGCTATGATGACAGACCATGTACAGTTTGAGCGCAGGGTAGCGGGGTTTACGAAGGGATCCTTACATGAATGTCACCCACATTACTCAACGGTATTCGCACAACATTGTTGTTCATATCTTATTTTATGCTGACTGTTGTGTTATCGGCAATCAGTTCGTCTGAATACAATATTTTTAGGTATTCGTCAGCCCAAGCGAAAAGCATGATGTTAAGCATCGAAAACTTTATGAGCCGAACGTTTGTACGTGTATCTCCAGTTTCTCACTGCGTACATCAAAACAAATAGAGCAATAAGCATAGTCTCTTCCTTTACCTGCGGATTTGAACGATTAACGATGAATTCAAGTGCTTGCGTATTTGAGCGATCAAACCTGGTAAAACAAAATCACAGTTTGTCTACAACATATATCAGCATTTAATTATTGGGATGAGCGCAAGCTGCGTTGACGATCGATAACCGGGTGCGTCATCGCTACTTTTCCTCGAATCTTAAACGCCAAGTTTGGCGCTAATTGACTGAATAACGCGGAAACTGCGCCGGAAATGTTCGTTGATCGCTGAACCCTGCCGCGATAATTCACTAATGCTTCGTTTACACAGTTTGTCACGCTGACAAGAAACTGCAAGACATCTTCCCACATCTTGCGTTCCCTTCATAAAACCATATCCACTGGAGCGCAATTCAATCTTCCCGGCACAAATTCGACTAGGAAAAACCACTAACCTTTACCAGCAAAAATGAACAACTCAACTGTACCAATAAACGTTACAATGGCCGAAATGAGCCAAACCTGGAATTTTGCCGCTATCGGGCGTTTAACCTTGGTTATCTTCCAGCTGCTCTTCAACACCAGCATGTTGTCTGTCTTCATCTTTCACCCGTCGCTGCGCACTTCATTCACCGTCTACATCATGGCGCTTTTATCCTGCAACATCTTTTACTCCGCCGGCGAATATCCGTTGGAAATCCTGCGCTTGACGTATCCGCAATGGTGGATGTCGGAACGTGCCTGTGGTTTCTATTTATACCATATCTGGGTGTTCTGCGCGGTGTCCATGCACATGCACGTTCTGATCACGATTAACCGGCTCTGGGCGTTGTTCTATCCCGTCTCCTATCGCCAGCGCCATTCCAGTAAAGTCGCGGTGTTGATGTGTTTGGGCATGGTCGGTTATGTCCATGTTATCTGTTTCCCGGTGTACATCATTGATCAGCTGTACTACCGGCGCCCAGCGGATCAGTTTGGATGCGTGCTGAATATCAAAGAGCAGAATGTTTACGGAACGGTTGCTAACATCATGGGTTTCGATGTGCCCATTGTAATCGTCGTCCTTTTCCTATCCGTTTATTTTATACAAACATCTTGCCCGAAGAAAAGTTGGGATGGGTTCGACGATGCATTTAAGAGGGTCAACGATGAATTTCCGAGGCGACTTTTCCCTCACTTCACATGGCCATAAATCAGTGAGTATGGCAATTAATCCTTAAACCAACTAAATCCTCTTCAGTCATGACCGAAAGAAAACATGAAGTTAAGGTAGCGTATTTCTTTTTGACCTTTCTTTATGCTTAATAGGGACATTCGCCTAGTCATAAGTCCAACAGGAAGCCTAACCACGGCGACCATCTTCGACCGTTCTTAGTGCTGACCTTGTTAACTGTCAGCGTTTTGGTTTGCTGGACGCCGGATCAGACGTACTGGACCATTGCCTGCTTCATGCAGATGATGGACTTGCCGGTGCTGCGAAACTTTACCATGGTCCTTTTTGCTCTGCAGGCGGTGTTGGATCCCATTCTGTTTGCCATGTCCTTAGCGAGTTTTAGAAACTACTTATGGCAAATTTGTCGGTCGTGCTGTTGTTGTTTGGCGGGTGCTGGGCACAAGAAGTGAATCTTGCCGTGGAAAAATATAAACGGCTTTAAAATGCCTGGTATCTACATTATTTTCTTTAGCGATAAATTCTTGTGTTTTCTTTAATAATTTACTGCGCCATTTCTGTCTCTTTCTTTAGTGGGAATTGTCTATGGGCACGATAAAACCTCATATTTATCAATCACAAACCCTGTTACCTGATGGTAACTTGCTACTGCCTGAACGTCATAATGTTTGGAATGCTGGAAATCAGTTTAAAGATTTTTCATTGGTATTTTTCCATTTTTGCAACATCCGTTTCCTGCTGTCGCGTTTTTGACAACAAGCACCAGGGACAATAAAGGTTTCCAAGTTGAAAAATAAAAATAAGACACTGCCCACCGCTGAACGACAAACGTTCGATACGCATCCGGCACATCGACATACTTTCCCTTCTTTTCCGGTTGCGGAATAGTTTGCATGTGGAAAAACACGTTGGGGGAAGTCCTGACGGAAAGGACACAGACAACGGGCTCGAGTGTCGCTTAGAAGGTAAACAGGACGTTGGTTGGGCAACGCAGGCCCAGGGATTTCTAAATGACGGTGAAGTAAGAGATGGTCCAAGCTGTCTCATCCGGCGTCTGTATAGCACAAGCACTGACTGTCAAAAGATGACAAACGAATGTGAGCCTTCCTCATGACGATTTCGCCTGGACAGATTTCGAATTCACTTCCTGCACATACGATCATGCTTAATGCCGAACCTGATTGTTGCTGTAGCTCGTTTCGGGGAAATGTTTACAATCTAGGTTTCCCTGCACGCAGTTGATGTTAAACTGCGAAATCCGAGCTCGAGGTGTTTTGCAGGGAGAAATCGCCGCGCATCAAGTTATAGCATGTAAACTTTATGGGAGAGGGTAGTACGTATGTCACCATTCAACTTAAATTTTGCAATTCGTCTGTCAGGATAAATTGTCCTGAGCCAGTAAAAAAGGCAAAAAGTGTCAGCAAAGGTCATAGTTATGTACGTCTCCGCTCTCCTGGGCCCTTGCGAAGAGCACGGGTAAATCCATATAGAAAGGCTGCTGAATAACCTTTCGAAGGATAGCTTCAAAAGTACGTGTTACATTGTATCTTTTGAATACCTTGACGTCAGAAGACCAGTTACAGTGTATTCGGATACGATCCGATAATAACATATGGAAAACAAATGTTTATAAACAGGCCGCTGCGACAGGTGAACCGGTCAAGTGCAACCAACATTTCTACCCAAAAACGATAAATAGTCCAGCAAACGACTCTTCTGTGGTGACGCCACAGGTTATTTGGATGATGATATGCTGGACCACCGCATGCTTTACTCAGCCGACAGTGGTTGTGCTTAACAAGTACAAATTTTATGTGTCTTAGATGGTCTTGTTCGATGCAGTCTGTAATACCCAAAGTAGTATTTTCGTAATGGCGTGAACGAGTTTCCGAGTTTGCGTCCAACGGGGGCATGCCGCTCCGACCGGTCAGCTACAATTTAGGACAAAACGGTCGCGCGCTCCCATTCCCCCAACGTATATAGGGACAAAAGCCAAACGTATTCCACCGTTTCGGGCAACTGCTGATGTCAGCCAGCTGGTGGTTTACATTGAGGCTATGCAGCGTTTTATGTACAATGGTGCTATAAGGTCACAGGTACAAGCCCGTCCGGATGATGAGCACGTAGAGATACAGCTAACGCATATTAAGCGCGATGTTAGCGCTTATCACGATGGCCACTACACTACGTTTGCCACAATGTGTAAATGCGCTCCGCAGTTAGGCTGCCCCTTACTGCACCGATCGTTTTCTACCTTCCGCCAGGCAACTACGATTATTCCCATTGAAATATATGGCATGCACCAGGCCACAAGCCAGCCAAACGCATGTTACGTGGTTGAATAGTGTGGCGTGGTGTTGCGTAGTATCTTGTTTGGCGTAACCCACGAATTTACATTTTTCGCCGTTCTCTATCGTGCTCATCATCCGGACGGGCTTGTACATCAGGCAAACTGCAAGTAAACAGGTACAGTAATTGTGAGCCCAGTGTAACTAATACCACAAGTACAATACCGTCAGTGTCACACAAACTTACGTAATAACAGCGCTTTACATAAAACAAGCCACAACGCAAACCAGCAGCTGACTGACACCAGGAGTAGCCGGAAACGGTGGAAAACGTTTTGGTTTTGCCCCTTGTATTCGATGAATCCTTGCGCGTGTGACTAGAGGTACTTGCACTGTACGGTACGAAGAAGTTAAAGTATCAGGCTGTCGTACAACTCACTGAGCCACATGCACACGGAATTCTGCATATGGGAGCGCAAGCCTGTTTATTTATTTTTAAAAACTTTATAAGCGAACTCGGGCCTAATATAAAGTTACCTACATACTGTATGTATAATGTAGTAAAAGTTATTTTGGTTTTCATTTTGTATGTATTAACATGTGCGATAACGGTCCATCAGAGGTCACCTAAATGTCATGCACCGCAAAACATTTGCAGTGTATCATGGACCGGCTGTCACATAGCCTTTTGAACTACCATACACTATCACTACCGGAATGCCGCCCAAAATTATTACACAGCACATGCATGTTCTGGTTTATAGAAATATCCGACGTAACACAGTGACCAGTTTGCCAAAGATACTGTTTTCACAAGATGAAGGTTATTTCCGCAGCATACTGATACATTGGTGCTTGGTTGCTGTTTGTCTAGAAAATTAATGATTTCACTGAGCCCCAGGACATACCGCGAGCCCTTCCAATTAACGTCCCCGCCGTCGACGTCATCAACATCATCGACCGTATGTTGTGCGGGTTCCAGAACACAAGCTCAAGTGATCAAGTTTCCAATATTAATTTTTACACAGCAGACAGCCTAATTCCCGCGTCACCCTGATATTATAACTGCCATAATTTATTAAATAAGCAGTAATTGCTTCGAAAACTTCGGATGCTGCGAATGCCCTAACAACAACACCATCCCTTTTCGTGGAATTATCAGGAAACATGATCAGTACGTCTTCTTTGAAACATTCCCAAGTCATTCCGCTTTGATATTTTTAAGACGGGGCTGATAATTAAGCCTGGCAGAAATATTTACGCCCTAACTGCGACGCTCCTAAATGTGTTTGTGCTCGGAAACACATTAGAGATTCACCGCTCTGCGCTAGTTCTTTAACTTCAGGTCGAAATATCGGCAACAACTTATTGCAGATCTGCAAGGCAATTAACAGTCAACGCTTGAGCAACGGAAGCCCGCTTGTTCTCTATTTGCATTTACTTGCGTGCTTCATTATTCTCCGGAATATTACCCGCTAATTCCAGTCGGCAATACAGCAAATTATACCAATCAGAGCACTGACGCTGAGGTAAAGGCTGTGTTTTCAATTTTCTCCATAACATAGAACCAGTTGCTTCCGTTTCAGTCTAAAAAGAACGCCGCGCGACCGTCATGCGTAATATTGCTAGTTAAAATAAACTTTTTCCATCAGTGGGAAGAAACGAACCCATGAACATTTTCATTTTTGCCTGTTTTGCCGGCGGTTTACGATTTGCCGAAGCGTCTTTATATCGGGACTTTACTGAAGAACATTTAAAGTTGTACAAGGTTTGCCATTGAACATGGCGATAAACTCCACCAATCTTACCAACAAATCATCGGCACAAAGCGGCGATCCATCACTGGTTCTGTTCAGCACCATTACGACGATCGTCGCGCTCTTTCTCAACCTGGCGGTTTTAATGCTGTACATCATCCGCATCCGCATTAAAGCGCCATTTACGATTTACATCGCCAACCTACTGTTGGCCAATGCGTTGTTCAGCATTAACGCTTTTTTTGATTTAGCGATAACCGTTTACGCCAATAACGGAAAAACGGCACTGGCAGTGTGCGCCGCCAAGTTTTATTGGCATTACGCGTTGTCAGGCCTGGTGGCTCATGCCCACGCTCTGATCGGGGTCAACCGGGTTTGGGCGGTCAGGTATCCGCATTCGTATCGAAGCTTCCACACGGTGAAGACGACATTCATCATTTGCGGTGGAGTATTTCTATATATGCAGCTTATTGTCGTTCCATACTTTATTTACCGTTTTTTCCATGTCAGACATTTTTGTGACCGATCAAAGTACGACAGTATATACACAATGTTTACGCAAATTACTATCTTTCTTCTACCGAGCGCGGTGGCGATTCTGGCATATCCAGTGGTGTGGATGGTGAAGCGAAAGCGAAAGACTCAGATTACGGTAACGGATCCATCGACCAACGTTAACAGCTACTTTTCGACTCGTACTCCAGGACGCAAAAGTCAGAAAGATAAATCCTTCCTAACCTTAACAGCATTGACCGTGAGCTTAATAGTGTTTTGGATGCCGGCGAAAGTCTATTTTTCCGCGCTAATTTTTAATGGGGTAAATCTCGGGCCGATCTGTTTATATGTTGTTCTAGCACTATCCATGCTGCAAGCAATCGCCGATCCTGTTTGCTTTGTTCTGACATTTAAGGACTTTAGAAATGCCGTCTCAATAGGATGCTGCAAAAGTCGACTGTAAACTAATTATTATTTTCAGTACTTGTATTCTGTTGTATTCTGCATTCCAGATTCACCTAGAATTTGCGTATGCATTACATGAAGCGGTAAATAAATTGCTGATACTCAGTTAAAGAAATACAGTACATGGTACTTCCATCGATTATGCCGCCTTCTTACACATGCATATACGCTCTTGCTACTAATACATAAACAATTAATTATTTCTTCTCCGCGCACGAACTTCACAACCTAACCGCATCGGGAGGAACTGAGTTCACCAAACATACGGAAACCAAATTAGAAAATAATTGGCGGTGGTTTTCTGAATATTCTACGAGATATTTGCGCATGTAATTTGTGGGGTTGTTCCTGTTGTTATGTTTAGTCGAATCATGCCGGAATAACGACTACGCAGTGAATGAATAGGTGAACAGAAAAGATTGGAAGTCGGAACGTACCGCACAAAGT